ATGGATAGCATTACAAAACTTTGGCAAGGGGGTAAGAATTTGTTCTATGTAAAGGAAAAGGTTGACGTGGATAGCATTAGCAAAACTTTGGCAAGAGGGGCTAAGAATTTGTTCTATGTAAAAGAAAAGATGACGTGGATAGCATTAGCAAAAACTTCAGTTAACATTGGTATCAATAAATTGAAGTAGTGTAGCACTTACTTGCTATAGTCAGTATTAAAGACCACATGACACCAAAATATAACCTTATCTAATTCTGTATCTGTATTTGTTTAGATGGTATAGCTGCCTCTCGGCGTAACACACCAGCTTCGCAGGCATGCGGCGCGGTGGTAGCTGGCTACATTACACCAAACGACTTGTTACACCTATTTTATTACTATTGTTCATAACAATAAAATGGCTATAGTTATACATAGTGGTCATGAGGGTTATGTATCGTTATGAATAATAGCCAAAAGTCATATATATGGTATAATGGTAAAAATTAATATGCATAATTATATATAATAACCAAAATGGATATGCATAGTTATATATAATGGTTAAAAGGGATATGCATAATTATGTATAATGGTTAAAAGGATATACATAATTATGTATAATGATCAAAAGGAATATACATAATTATGTATAATGATCAAGAGGGATATACATAATTATGTATAGTGATCAAAAGGGATATACATAATTATGTATAATGGAAAACTAATATGTATAATCATACATGATTATAGATAAATATAGTATAATCATGTATAATTATGTATAATTGGACTATACCCTAGGGACTAATTAACACACTCCACATATTTGTCACCTTCTACTATGTACTCAGAAAAAATATAAACCTAATTGGGTAAAGCAATTTAGAGTTATTAGCGAGGAGTCCATAATTAAAGTGTTTTTCCATAATTAAAGTGCTGCTTGTTCACTTTGGTTTTCTTCAGGTTTACCATGAATGTTCCATTTCTCACAAAATGAGTTTAGTTTGTAACCCATCACCAGTTACCATGGTGACAGATGGTCTGATTCAGTGTTTGGAGAAGAAGAAGAGGAAATGTAGCAAAAACAATGTTTCCTTCATAAACATAATTACCCCATTTTAACACTTACAAGGTACATTCATGACACCTCAGCTACAAAGTGTGAAATACGTGCCTTTGTATGACTATAGTTACCATTGTCCAAGGAAGTGTTTCACACATACCTGTGGAACCCATTTTTCAAACTGACTTGTATCTAAACGCATAGGAAAAAGTGGCGTACTAGAAAATATCACTCATATTTGGGACTGAAAAGTACAAAGTTACAGTGTTATTCTGTTTGCATGGGGTGCTAAAATATGCACAGCAATGACTTGGTTGTTACGTATGCCGGAGTTTGGACCCCCTTTTTTGTGTTGGAACGTTCCACGGAAACGATAGTCAAAAATCTGCGGTGACTCTCATGTACTTCAATCTCGGATATACTCACTGCTGTTTCCAGATCTAACCTTATTTTTGATGGGTTACGGGTCAGATGAACAGTAACAAAAGATACTAGTATGCGTCAACACGTAGAACAGTTGCCAGACTTAGGCCCCCTCCCGTTAAGGACTGGGGGATAGGGATGAAGGGGTTTGAGAAAGTGAGCCTGTGACAGAGGTTAAGGCACCCGATCACTGTACCTTAGGCGAGAGTGAAAATATATTAATGATTCCCACTTACGTCACAATGGACTGATCTCGCGAGACTCTTGTTGATCTTTTCCAGTGGTTAAATCTGGGGGTAGAAACTTCCTTAAAAGGAAGTGACACTCAGAGATACACAAGACTTACCTGCAGTTTGAATGTTGTTTTCCAGCTCCAGGACCACAGCTTCCTCCCCCCACCAACCTGTAAAACATGATGTTTGGATGTCAGATTCTACAGGACTCTACATGTTCCAACAGCAGAAGGCGTTGGAAGATTCCATTGCTGCATGGGGGTATATAGACTATTGGAACACTTCATACAAAAATATACATCAGTCCTGTACAAATAAAAATACAGCACAACTTGCACAAGTCATGGAACCTGCTTTCATAGGATCAGATGGACCCAAAGCAAAATTCTTGTCAAGATTCATTTCCAAGTTTGTCAGGATATTTACACTTCAAACTATAGTTCCATGACCCCATACCTCTGCATGCCAATTGACACTTAATGGATGATGCAAAAAAGGTCCTGATTTGCATAAATTATAAGTTGATGATCTTCCCTACCCAAATATCTCAAGCCATACATTGGCCCAAAGACACAGTGTATCAGCTGTGGACAACTTCTACTAGTACAGAAAGTGTGTGTGTGTATAGAGGTGGTTTAACTGTTCATATTATATGTACATGTGTGCAATACAAAACAGAGGATAATTGAAGTCTCTGACAGACTCAAACAAGTGTATGCTAAACATAACGTGAGCCTATCCTCCAAACCAGGCTATACTCTTGTGCCATTGTCTGCACACAGTGTGGTGTCATCTTTAAAATACTGTGTGAACAGTGTGGTGAGGTGTATGTAGGTGAAACTAAAAGATGCTTAGGGGAACAGACTAATGAACAGAAGTCTAGAGACTGTCAGGATGGTAAATGCGTGCTCAGCCAACATGAACTCCAAACAGGCCATAGGGTCACCGCCGACTCTGTATCAGACATTATAAAAATCATACATGTAGATCAAGAATCACGTCAGGCCCACAGATAGATCAAGGAGGCAGTCCACATCTACAATTTTGTAGTTGGACCGTGCTGGGATGAGTTGTAACGAAGGTTGGGAGCTGCCCAAGTCCTACTTACTCCTGCTCTGCAAGAAGGTACATTTGTAGGGGAGACCAGAAGATTCACAAAAGTCTTGTGTTCTCACCAGACCAGGTCACTCCGTGATCAAGGCGTACAGTGGGCGTTGAAAATGTTTACCTTTTAAAAATTGTCACTGATTGAGGAATATTTTACTAACAACAAGACTGGCAATGAAAACATACATTGCCATGGCGACGGTGGTTGCTGTTAGGGTTATTGTTTGCATGGTACTGCCATGATTCCATGATTTTGAGGAAGCCTTGGTACCCTACCTTCCCCTGAGTGTACAGTGAACGAGCCCCGTGGCAATACGGGTTTTTCAAAAGGTTTCCAGGAATGTAGGGCTATGTCAACAAAACAGAGCTGGGAGACATTCCTGTAGACATTCCATGCCTGTGGACAAAATTCCTGTACAATTCCTAGAATTCTCGTGAACTTCACACAATACTGTACCATTAGGCTCCTCCCTAAGACGTCACCAAAAACAGAGAATAAAGTCTACCATACTGGACAGGAGCAGATGTGACTGAACTGGGAACACTCACCTGCAGACTGATGGTCTTCTCAGCAGGTGGGGAGGGGAGTATTATGGGATGTGGGGCTGACCTGGTGATGACATCCTGGGGTATGGCTGGTGTCACCTGTAGGAAAATTGTTTCCCAACATACCTGACAGTATGAACTTGTCACAAGTAGCACGTTAGCAGAATGTACTGCACCTGCGCAAAACCCGTAATGAATTGTACATAGCACTTCGGCAGATCTAGAACGTCTCATATAAGGTCGTACTCGCGCATATAACATGTAAGGTTAATATCCTGTCTGTAGTTTCCAAATGTTAGGCCACACCAATTTAATTTGTTGGTTCTCGGATTTTTCATGAAAAATGTGAAGCGACAGGGCGAAAAAAAAAAAAACATGCCCAAATGGTAAAGCTAAGGCTGGAAAAAGGGATTGAGAACAAAGCTATGACTATACATGCTAAAACATTGCTGTTTTATAGCCTATGTATCAAGGATAAATTATTGATGTTAATGATCTGCCGAATAAACATACCCCCCGGAATAAACGTACCCCCCGGACAAATTTTCAAAATCCAATAAAACTACCCCCGGAATAAATTTACCCCCGGAAATTACCAAAATTGATGGTAACTGTGTCTCTTATGCTAAAATGTGCTCTTACTATTATACTAGAAACTGTTATGCACAAAATCTTTAACTGTTATTTGCAATTAGGAATTTAAATAGACAACAAAGAGAGCATTTCTAGTACAAATGTAGACATGTCATGTTGTTGGGAAATACATACAGTCAAACCTGTAATAACGACCACCCCTGTATAGAGACCACTCGTCCATTACGACCACTTTTTGTTGGTCCCTTGAATTTTTCCCATTGACTCAAGCGTTAAGAAATCTTGCATTGCGTCTACCTGTCTAACGCGTCCAGCGTCCACATGTTTTCGGTCCCGAGACGGCCAAAATGCCAATCCCACCGTCTGAGTCCAGCCGTGAGTATGTTGCCAAATGTTGGCCAAGAAAATCCAACGGGTACCGGGTAATAAAGAATATGGGCATGATGTGGCAGCATTTTTTTTTTTGCTAGCGTTCGTATCATAAAAGTAAACAAAATTTTGAAGTGCCGATTACTCAAAAATGGCCCCTAAAAATCCCAGCGAACCATCCCAGCATGTCGTAACTTGGCGTCGATTACGACAACTTTTCTTTTGGGAAAAATTAGAAAATAATGCTTCTCTAGCGACCAGATAGGGCTCTAGATATTTTCTGGGCGATATTAGCCGGGATTTTGTCGTAAAAATGAGCCAAAACTGTTGTTGTTGTTGTTGTCCTTGTTTAACGTCTATTATGTCGCTAGACGTGGTCTCTAGGTGCTCAGTTTTTCACTTGGTTCAGTTCAGAACTGGTGGTAGAAGAAAGCCGAGAAATATCCAACATGGCGTCGCTGCTTGCATGAAGGAGAGGTCATTTGGGGTTAACGGAAGGTCTCATTTTTTACGGGGAAGACTGTGTAATATTTTACCCGATTTCTTGATTTTATTGCGGTAAATCGACATCGACAAATACAATACGGTAGCTAAAAATCTTAAATATTAAATGACTTGCTTAGTAAATGACTTGCTTAGTTTGTTAGAATTTGTTCTAATTTAGAGCTTTGAGGAGTTCGTATTTTGATGAGCACCACCCATGACAATGGAACATTCAGACAAATTTATGCACGCCGCGATCGCGAAAACCGGCCGGAAAATGACAAGTTTCTCGCTACAATACGCGTTTATAAACGTCTTCACGTCGAAGATTTGCCGATTTTCTTCACGTGTAGTCGAAAAAAATTACTGATTTTCAAAAAATTAATAAACGTACCGTGCAAAATAAGAACGTACCGGGTGGACGTTCGGGCCCAAAAAAATCGGCAGATGAGATGAGAGTAACAAGAATTACTTTTTTTTTCATTTTGCGATTTTTTGAAGCGGCGATTCCGAGAACCAACAAATTAAATTGGTGTGGCCTTATGTCGGAAAAAAAAAGGCAACAACAGGCAAAATTCTGATACAACGTTGACCAAAAATCCAACGAAAATCATGAAATGGTACTTGGTACTTGTGTATGCCACATTATAAACATTTTGCTGAGACATGAGGCCAATGTAACCATTATGACTTGTATAACTATGGTAATCTGTAAGTGACCATATGGAGAGATATGTTATGGAGAGATATGCATATATTAGCACGTTAGGTAAGCACTGATAATCAGGTGAAGGACTATTGTTAGCATAGTTGAGCTTGGAGACAATAGTTAGTCAGTCGTGACTCAGGTGTACATGACTTGTATAGTAGTACATGTAGCTAGCTCTCTGTAGATTAGTAGATTGTAACTGTTACACTTGCAGCTTGTATAGTATCTCATCTGTATTGTATGCTAGACATTGGTAACTCTCTGTGTAACTAAGTCCTTAACTCCCTGTAAACATTTAGACCATATCTGTTAGTAGAGTTAAAGCTGCATTATGCGATTTTTGGCCGTCTAATCTTAAAACAAAAAGTTGATTTTCTGGCCATTTTTTTACATTGCTAGTTGAATAAACCTTACTGTGTTACACTGCACCATTCAGTTAATGGAGGCGAGACAATATTTTTGCGATGCGAGCGGTTAGAAAATTGAGAAATCGCATGCGCGCACCTGGGTGTCCGCCATGTTTGTTGACTTCCGAACATGCCCGAGTACTCCAGAGTCTGCCCGAGCCGACCCGGAGATTTGTCATGTGGTCTAATGTGACCTTTCACCTGGGCGCGGGACATTCGATTCTGACAGCCGGTTTTTGCCTTTGGTTCCCGGGTTTGTTTTGAATGCGTTTTCCTTCGATTACTTTGTGGAGATGGAGGGACGACCCAGACGACGTAAAAAAACTACATAATGCAGCTTTAACATACGGTTTAATAAACACGGCTCAGCAGAAGTAATCAGACTGCTTGGATCTCGTTTTAATGAGCTGAGCTCCAATATTAATGCTATTCCCTGTACCTGTGTGGCAGCTGCAGGCGCCATCAGTGCTGGTTTGTCTTTGCGGATCCGTTTGGTCGCCGGTTGTGACAAACTGTCCACTTTTCTTTTGGTGCTGAGTGTGATTCCTGCAGCTGTGGTGTCCTGGGTACTGGACCTGTCACTCTCTTTTGGCTTGACAGTAGAGATTGTGGTTGGGGCGATCCTTCAAGGTTTAATGAAGGGAAAATAGTTGCATGAATTTTGGTTCAGTTTGAAGAAATGATAACATTCAAAACTCATGCATACTTGGAAAATTTAAAATTGTTTAATGTAATGTACTAATAGTATATACAATCAGTGTGCAAAATACCTGGTTGCCCAGTTGCCCTGGGAAACCAAATTTTACTTGGGGCAACCTATTTTTGAACCTAGCTAGCCCAGTGTGCTACCTGAATTTTAAGAATACCCACCTAAAATCATCCACACTTGGCTTGCATTACTGTATCCGGCAGATGCTTTTTAATTTTAGGTATTAATGACTATTACTAGTATCAGTGAACTAAAGGCTGTTAGAAATATTGTCAAAGGCTTAATATGTATGTAACATTACTTAATTTAAGGAAAGTACTAACTTATAGGTGGGTCAACCTAAAATTCTGATGGGCAACCTAATTTTTGCCGTAGGTTGCCCACTGGGTAACTTGGTTAAAAAAAGTAGTTTGAACACTGACATTGTACATGTATTGCAAGGAGTGGACTGGCCCCTTGCCAGTGCCCGACACACGACAGAGGGATGGAGGGAGGCAGTGTGCTCAGCCATTAGGCCCCCCCATGACCATGAGGGTAAGTGGGACTATATTTTGATTCTCCTGGAGGCCTTCAAGCTACTTGTTAAGCTACATGTATATGTACATTGAACATTGTATTAAACTATACAGAAATAACATAGCATGTCATGCCTGTGCAACGTCATTCAAGAGTTTAAAATCTAGTTTAGAATTCACCTTAATTTTTAGAATATTTACATACGAGTAGCTAAATCTATCAGCTATCAAATTTCCTTCTTTCTTGGCTTACAAAAATGTTGAAAGTCAGACAGACCTGTCTAGTTTGGGCAGGCTGGGCTGGGACTTTGTACCACTTGTGGCCTTTGACTTCTCAGTGAACCTGGAGTCCAGAGCTTTCATAGGCTGAAATCACAAAGACAGGACTGAGATCAAATCACCCGCATTAGAACTTAGGGTGTGAACACACACACGCACACACGAACGCACACACACACACACACACACACACACCACACACACACACTCACTCACACACACACACACACACACACACGACACACACACACACACACACACACACACACACACACACACACACACACACACACACACACACACACACACACACACACACACACACACACACACACACACACACACACACACACACACACACACACACACACACACACACACACACACGCACACACTACTACTA